AAATAAGAAAATAAATAGCTGAACAAATAAACAAATAAATGATTAAATGAAGAGTTAAATGAATATGTGAATAAATAAGAAAAATAAATAGCTGAACAAATAAGCAAATGATTAAATGAAGAGTTAAATGAATATGTGAATAAATAAGAAAATAAATAGCTGAACAAATAAGCAAATAAATGATTAAATGAAGAGTTAAATGAATATGTGAATAAATAAATGAAGTAAGCAGATAAAATTAGGCAAATAAATAAATGAATGGATAAACAAATAAATTGATAAATGGATGAATAAATAAATGAACAAACAAATAAACAAATTAATTAATCTAATAAATAAATAAACAGATAAATAAATGGACGAATAAATAAACAAAGAAATAGACGAATAAATAAATAGAGAGATGAATGAATGAATAATAAAATAAATAAATAAACAAAGAAACGTATGAATGAATAAATGGATAAATTAAAAAGATAACAAAACGATTAAATAAATAAATAAACAAATAGATAAATGAATGGTAAATAAATGAATAGACAAAAAATAAACAGATAAATAAGTAACTGGGTAAATAAATAAACAAATAAATAACCAAATATATAAATAAATAAACGGGTAAACAAATAAATCGGTAGACAAATAAGCAAATGAATAAGTAAATATATAAATAAATAAACAAATAAGCAAATAAATAAGCAAATATATAAACGAATAAATAAAGAAAGAAGGGAAGAAAAAGAAATAAACAAGCAAATGAATGAATGAATAAATAAACAAATAAACAAATAAATAATAAATAAATAAACAAATAAACAAATAAATAAGTAAATAAATAAATAAATGAGAAAGAAAGAAAGAAAGAAGAAGGAAAATACTTGTCGTTAATTTAAATTAATGTAACTTTCACCTCACATTTCTTAAAATCTCATGCCTTTTTTTTCGCAAAGTAAATAACATATACGGTGTATTACGGTAACATATAATATATGTTATATATATATATGTATATGGTAGATTTATATCTTAATCTCGTATCATCAAATTTCAATAGAATTAATTAAGTAAACAAATAAACATATCAAACTATTTGATACGACTGTATCCAAATATAAAAATAGCTTATAACATACCTTGCTAACATTTGATTTGTTATCATTTCATCATTAATCGTTATTTCATTAATTTTCTCCATAAAATACGGTACATTATCATTTAAATCCATTACTTTTACATAAACTTTTACAGATGAATTATATGCAGCATATGGTGACAATGCTTCAACCTAAAAATTACAAATGAATTATATGCTACAAATGGTGACAATATTTCAACCTAAAAATCATTTATCATTTCTGATAATTTTTTTCGTTTTTTTTTTACATAACCAATTTTTTCATTTCAATAGTTGTTTCTTTTTTTTGAAACTAAAAAATTCCAAAAAAAATATGAAAAAGTAAAAAAAATGAAACAAACCAAAAATTCAAATTCACTTTTGAATTCAGCATCGATTGGATAATTCAAAAAATTGAACCATCATGAGTAATGCCAAAAAGATTAATTGGTTCAAAATTTTGTATTCGTAATATTGTACCAATTGGTATTTCATCCATTAATGTTATTTGGCCAAATTCATTATATGGTTGTATATTTTCTGGTATTGAAAAACTAAAAATTAATTTAATTTTTTCATGAATTGAAAATGGATTTAAAATATGAAATTTATGGAATAATTTTGAAATGTTAAATTAGCATATTTATATAAAGATTGAAAAGAAATATATCATTATGATTGGTTTAGTCTAAATAATACAATAATGGTAATTAAAATAAAATTATACTTAAATGATGTTCTAGTGAATCGTATGGGTTTACGATCGTAATTTTCAATTCCAATATTAATTTGAACAACAACAGTAGAATTTTGTGCTGGTTTGCCTTGATCAAATGCGTACACTTTTAAATAATATGTTGATCGATCATTTAGTTTACCAATTACCAATAAATTACCTGGAATCTTTTTTTTTTTTTTTTAGAATAAAGTAATACTGAGATGTTGATGAAGATGGCTAATTACAGTATAAGGATGAAAAAAAAAAATCTTTCTTGTGACGAGAAATTTCTTTATGCAATCAGATTTGAAAATAATGAACTACAATAATAGATGTATAATATGGAATGAATTACGATAAAATACGATAGGATACAGTAGAATAACTATGGTATCTGCAAAATTATTTCATTTTTTATTTGTAAATGCTACGAAAATAGCAAGCAAGAAAGGAATTATGATAATTGGTGACATATAATTAGATGACAAATTTATGACCATTTTTTTTTGTAGATATTAATTAGAAGGAGAAATCTTAAATTTGAAATGCTTGGTATTTTAAACATATTTAATCAAATAATTATAACGATTTCTAAATTTATTCAAAAATTGATCAATCAATTGTACCTGTTTCTGGATCAATCCTAAAATCATTCATACTATTTATAGCTAATTCATAGCGAACAATACCACCATGTCCTGTATCCGGATCATTTGCACGTATCTTTCCAATTATTGAACCTAATTCAATATCTTTTCCAATATTAATTAGATAAAATTGTTCCTCGAATTTTGGTGCATTATCATTAACATCTTCTACAATTATTCGTAATGTAGCACGTGAGGTATTTTCACCATCTGTTACCTGTAAGAAAAAAAAAAATTTAGAATATTGCGTAATTATTGAATTTAACTAACGTCTATTACAGTATCATATTGCATTGAATAGAAAAGATACAAACAATGTGACAATTTGGTTGACAAGCTGACATAATTACACGTGTTTAAATATTTTTGCATTTAATAAATATGATATTAAAAATGTGATAATTTGCTTCACAATTTCATGTAATTTATACATGTGAGTATTTTTTGCATTTAATAAATATGATTGTGATAATTTATGACAAAGAATGTGACAATTTAGTTGACAATTTCATGTAATTATACGTGTGGATATTTTTACGATTGTGATAATCTTTGACAAGAAATGTGACAATGTAATTGATAATTTCACGTAATTACACTAAATAGTAATTAAATAGTAATTAATTAAATTAAATAGTAACTTGTTAAACTAGTAATTTACTAAAATTAAATAGTAATTTATTTATAAAAAGTAATTAAATTAAATAGTAATTAAATAGTTATAATGTATAATTACACGTAAAGGTATATTTGCATTTAATATATATATATATATATAATACAAAGAATGGAATAATTTAATTGTAAATATATAATTCATTAAATATATAATTCATGTAACTATACATATATGAATATTAAAATTAGTAATTATTTTTAATTATAAATGAATAGTACCTGAATATGTACAGTATGCTCATTGATCATTTCATAATCCAAATTACCAATTAGAAATATTTTTCCAGTAAATGGATCAATTTCAAAAAGATCATTAGATGATAGTAAACTATATTCCAATTGTGTATCAATGTCAACATCTGTTGCTATCACTGTTCCTATCAATGTACCATATGTTGCTGCTATAAATGAAAGTTTTTTTTTTTTTTAATTTTTTACAAATATTTTAATTTAAAATAAAATATATTATCAAAATTTTTTTTTCTCATAAATGCATCATGATATTGTTAGAGCTAAATTTAACGATTAATTACAATAAATGTACCATCATACTTTATTAATTTACAAAGTATTACATAGGTATAAATCAGAACTTAAAGCAAACAAATGAGTCAATAAGAATTCATTTATTCTGTAAATAAGAATTCAATTTGTTCTGCAAATAAGAATTCATTTACTCTGTAAATAAAAATTCATTTACTCCGTAAATAAGAATTCATTTATTTTGTAAATAAAAATTCATTTAGCTACTGTAAATAAGAATTCATTTATTCTGTAAATAAGAATTCATTTATTCTGCAAATAAGAATTCATTTACTCTGCAAACAAAAATTCATTTCATAAATAAGAATTCATTTCAAATAAGAATTCATTTCAAAAATTTCACTAGCATCTACATTTCATATTCTAATTTTGAAAATTCGAAATGAAAAATTAATTAAAGACAAGGAAAAATTGTAAATTACAAGAAAAAAAGTAAAGCAAAGACTAACATTCCAATACTTTTCGAGGCTTTAGCATTGGGAATGATGGAACATTATCGTTTGTATTGATTACTAAATTAAACATCCTTTAAAATTAATTAATGAATTTAAAAAACTTGTAATATAAATTAATTATGAAAGAGTTTTTAAATGATATCTCAAATATTACCCATTTGTTTTCCAATTTCTATAATCCTTGTATGATTCATTTATGATCTTTATATGCTTGTGATTTTATCATTTATATCATTTAAATTTTTTTTTATCACTAATATTTTCATCATTTTTATCACTTATAGGATCTTGATCTTTATATGCTATTATTATACTAAATCATTATCACCATATCACCATCACCTGATTACCTATGCAAATAATAACGCTTTATCATTAATTTCGATCATTTTTATCATTATTTTTATCAGTTATAAAATCTTGATCTTTATAATACTATCATTATACGGAACTATTATCATCATATCATTACTTGATTACCCATACAAATAATAATATTCGATTATAAAATATCTAGCATGCATTAAACAAATTCATCAAATGTCATAAACTAATGATTAAAAGAAATTATTAATTAATAATTTTTCAAACTAATTAATTAATAATTCTACGATAACATAAATATTTCAACATATTATTTGGATAAAAAAAAAAAAAAAAACGATATTAACTGAATGAATATTTAATAAGATTTTTTTTCATAAATGTTATTAATTATTAATTAATTACAAACCTCTTATATGTATATCCGTTTCCGGTGTATTTTTACCATTTCCGGTTCCAATTACTTTCAAATTATAAACATTTTTAATTTCATAATCTAATTCTTGAGCTGTTATTAGACGTCCATTATCATCGATATCAAATGCTGCATCCATATTACCACTTACAATACTATATGCTAATGGTGCATCTTCAGTTAAATGATCTAAGCTATGAATCTAAAAATTACAATAATAAAATATGAAATAATATAGATATATAATAATATGATATGCAAAATTTTATTCATTTATCATATGTTATCAATGATAACAATTGAAATCATTTATCATATGTTATCAATGATAACAATTGAAACTACAGTTTATTTAAAGGTAAAGATTTAAAAAAAAGAAAAGAACTAAACAAATTTCTAATCCAAAATATACTTATTGTCAAACATTTTAGTACATATATCATGTTATCAATATTATCATAAACAAGTTGAAAATTTTATCTAAAATAAAAGACAAAGAAAAAAAAATTCTTGGAAATTTCTAATTTTCAACTCTTTTATCAATTTAACACATGATTACTGTTGATATAATTATTTGATAAAATATCAATTATGATAAACATCTATAGTTTAATCAGAATTTAATAACTCATTAATTCTTTTTACAAATTGTTAATTTAATTTTTGTTAATTTTTCTACAAACTGTTAATTTTGCAATTTTTTACAATTTGTTAATTTAATTTTTATTAATTTTTTCTCTTATCAATTTAACACAAGATTACTATTGATATAATTGTTTGATAAATTATCAATTATGATAAACATCTATAGTTTAATCAGAATCTAATAACTCATTAATTTTCTTACAAATTGTTAATTTAATTTTTGCTCATTTTTCTACAAACTGTTAATTTTTGCAATTTTCTCCAAACAGTTAATTTGTCACCTATTTTCTGATTGAAATATTTTTATAATTGTTAATCATACCTGTAGTACAAATTGTCCACGCTGTTCACCTTCATTAATAAAGCCATTATAATGGTCACTTAAAAATTGTGGTTCACCTAATTTTAGCATTGATTTAGTTCTAATTAAATGTAATTGAATGTTAAATTCAGATGATAACACTCGTGAAACTCCTTGATCTTCCGCTTTTACTTTAATTATATAATCATTTTGTGAAGTTGGATAATCTCTGAAAAATAAAAAAAAATTAATTTCATTTTCACTAGAGTATTAATTTGATTTTAAAATATATTATATCATATCAATTCATATTTTATCATATCATATCTTATCATATAAAACTAGATTTTCAAAACATATCTTATCATGGTCAAATCATTTCTTATCATATCTAATCAATTACACCATATTAGAAAATGTTTTTTTGCAAATTGAATTTTTAATAAAACCTGGCAAAATAATTTCGCCTGTATCAGGATGAATATCCAATAAACCGCTTGTATCTTCAACAATGCTATAGATAATTTTACCATTTAAACCATCATCTTGATCTGTTGCTGATAATCTAAATAAAAAATTATTTTTGGAATTAAAAATGTTTAATTATAAAGCCAAATATAGAAAATTTCGAATGAATTTTTAAATTTATCATTTGAGTGTCATTCTTTTAAATTTCATTTTTCATTTTTAAATTTAATTTTTTACAAAAAATTTCGAAAGATATTCGAGGAAAGAAATTTCATCCAGTATAGTTCTATTAGATTTTTACCGGATTTCTTTAGCTTTACCGGATTTTTTTCCGTTCAATTTTTTTTCGAATAAAATAAATGTATAAAATAATCTTTCATTTACCTTCCTAATATTTCACCAATTTGTTTACTATCATCAATTTCTATTAATGTTGGAATATTATCAATGAAAACAGGTACATTATCATTTTCATCTGTTACTGTAATACGTAATGTACATGTATCCTGAAAAATTAAAATTTTAATAATAAATTTTATGATAACTTCGATAAGATAGCCTGAATTATGTTAATTCAATAAAATTCTATGATAATTTAAATATGTAAATAAAAAAATATTTTATTTAAAAAAAACAAAAAGTAAATAAAGGATTGATAGAATAATAAAAATTTTCAAACAAAAAAAAAAAAAACGAAAGTTTTTTTTTCAAAATTTTGAAATTTTCAAGGAAATTTTTTTTTCTTCTTTTTTTTTTTTTTTTGTAAAAAAAATTTTATTATCATTTTAAACATACAGCTCGTTTTGGTATGCCTTGATCTTCAGCAGTAATTACCAAAAAATACTGCGATTGTTGTTCATAATCTAATTCACGACATGATAATAATCCGGTGGATGAATTGAGAAAAAAAAGCGAAATTTTCATTTCCAGCTAATAATTTAAAAAAAAAAAATTAAAAAATGATAATTTTAAACAAATTTAATCAAATAATATTGTTAAATTTTGCTAAATTTTACTAAATTTTACTAAATTTCCTTAAACAAATAATATTATTCATTCTTCCTTTTTTTTTCTGCTCAATTTTAAAAAAAAAATTATAAACATTTCATTTTATTAATTTATAAATAAACATTTGAGAGAAATTTTTTAAGGTAAATTTTATTTTTTTGAGTTTTTCTTTTTTTTTTTCATTGAAACAAAAATGTCAATTGTTTTGTCAATTTTTTAAAAAAAAAACTTAAATTAAATTTTTTTTATTTTTTAACAATAAATTTTAATATATTTATAATTTAATCAAAATATTTAATAAAAATATAAAACTTACCAACTATTTTATAAAAAATTTCACCATTATTATTATTATTATCATCGTTATCTTTATCCCATGCATAAATACGTGTAAGATGTTTTGTAGCAATATTTTCACGTATTGTTAAATTACCACAACTTGATGATGAAATTCGTGGTGGATATTGATTTGTATTAATTATATTTAAATGAATTAATGCCCAATCGATTAATTTTTCGCCACCTGATGCTATGAACTAAAAAAAAGAAAAGAAGTGTTTTTAAATTTAATAATTTTTGAAAGAAATAAAACGAGTTATTTTTTTAAAAAAATTTAATAACTTTTTTGTAAATGTAAAAATTTAAAAAAAATTTTTTATAAATTTTTAAAGATGTAAAAAAATTAAAAATATAAATTTTAAAAATTTAATAACTTTTAAAAATGCAAATTTTTTTCGTCTTTTAAAATGGTAAAAATTTTTTAATATTATTTATAATGAAATTATTTCAGTGTTTTTTTTTTTTTTTAAAAAAGGGAAAATGATAATTATTTCTAAGTATGTATTATTTAAATAAGTTGATTTATTAGTCAAAAAAAAAAATATCATTGAAAAATTTCAATTTAATCTTTGATTTTTTTCAAAAGTTTTAAA